CTATCATCTATCCATCTATCTATCATCTATCTATCTCTCTCTCTAGTAAACATCTCTGTATTTTCAAACTGTATTGCAATATTCTAAAATTTGAAAAAAAGGAGACACTTACATTACATGTCCGTACTTTATAGATAAATCAGAGTCCTGAATCAAAGACTTATGCTGCCAACTTCCTAGGATCTCTGGAGGAATTTTGAGAAATTAGGAGTGAAGGGCCACCATAGCACATGATTGTATGGTGCAAAACCAGGACAGGTAGCTCCGTCCACCTATCAGTTTAGATTTTAGCCTATGCAAAAATACCATTAGGGTCATTTAAGACTCGATGGCATTACTTTTCTGCTGTTAACCACACCTTTGTATCTCAAAACTGTATTGAACTACATGAAACAGACGAGACATTATGTTATAAAATAAAAGAAAGTGATGTAATCACTTCTTCTTCCCACTTTTTCCCATTCTCCTCTTCATGGCATGCAGGTAGCCCTCAAGTTACAACCACAATTGAGCCCAAAATTTCTGCTGCTAAGCAAGACAGTTGTCAAGTGAGCTTTGCCCCATTTTACAACATCTCTTGCCACAGCTGTTAGTTGCTGAATTACTGTAGTTGTCAAGTTAGAAACACAAGGTTAAGTGAATCTGGCTTTCCTGTTGACTTTCCTTGTGAAAAGATCACAAAAGATGAACGGGTGACCCTGGGACACTACAACTGTCAAAATACATGCCAGTTGCCAAGCGTTTGAATTTTGATCACGTGACCATGGGAATGCTGCAACGGTCATAGAAAAAAGGTCATGTCACTTTTTTCAATACCATTGTAACTTTGTTCACAAAATGAAGGCTTGTAAGTCAAGGATTAAGATAAAGGTAAATGTTCCCCTGCCCATGCGTGCTAGTCGTTTCCGGCTCTAGGGGCACTGCACATATGTGCTAGTTGTTCCTGACTTTAGGGAGCGGTGCTCATCTCTGTTTCAAAGCCGTAGAACCAGCGCTGTCTGAAGACGTCTCTGTGGTCATGTGGCCGGCCTGACTAAACACCATAGGTGCATAGAACGCTGTTACCTTTACACCAAAGGTGGTTCCTATTTTTCTACTTGCATTTTTACATGCTTTCNCATTCAAACTTAAAAGGAATAGCTTTTGTATTGTACCAGGTTTCCCTGAAAATAAGACAGTTAGGGTCATTGCAGCACTCCCAACATCACTTGATCAAAATTCTGGCACTTGGCTGCCTGCCAGGACTTACGACAACTGAGGTGCTTCAATTCCCCCCCACACACACACACACTTTTGGGCCATTTGGCCACCTCTACCAGCCCCAAAAGAGCAGGGACGGTGGTAGATAGTCAGGGGAATTGAGGAGGATGCAACTCTCTATCTTACTGTGGCTTGGGACCAAGCTGAGATGGTGACAAATGGGACCAGCATTACAGTCACTAAGTGAAGTGATCACGTGAGGTCACGCTTTTTACAATTGCATTGCTTAGTAATGGAAATTCTGGTTCCAATTACTCATTTTTCAGCTGAGGAGTACCTGTACTATGACAAATAGCTGAAAATCCTTAGCCTAAACTGAAGTCTAACTTAATTCTGTCTAAGCTGATTTTTTTTTTCAACTCTGCAACCCATCTTGCCGAATATATATTTGTAAAAAGGCCTCAAAATATCATTTTAAGATGTAAATCCAGAGTGGGGAATTACAGCCCTTTCATGACCTCTGGACTTCAACTCCCAGAATTCTTGAGCCAGCATGGACATGACTCAGGGATTCTGGGAGTTGAAGTTCACAAGTCATAAAAAAGCTGTAGTTCCCCACCTCTGATGTAAATGAAAAAGATAGATGTAAATAAAGGATTTTTTTTTGAGTTTGTGCATTTGCTGGCTATGCACCCATCATAATTGCCAGTCATTTTTCAATCTGATTTTCGTAGTTGGGTAAACTGAAGAGGGATGTGTTGAGGAAATGTGAGGCATTTAGATTGTTAATTATTGTTGGTGGGAGGCAGTATTAGAGATGATATGACCATAGATGTAGCCACATAGAACTGTCTTTCCAGTAATGTGATAAGTGGTTGAGTTAAGCCTTATTGATACATTGATCTGAACCAGTGGTGGGATTCAAATAATTTAACAACTGGTTCTCTATCCTAATGACCAGGTGGGTAGGCGGGGCTTAGTGGTCATGTGGGCGTGTGGGCGTGGCCAACTCAACATTACTCAGGTCGATGGGCGCTTTGCCTTAGCTGTTACAATGTAATAAGGGTTAACCAGAGAG